AAAATCTGTGAGGAAGATTCAACTATGAAGGATGGTATTACAGAAATACTCCAAACACATGAAACTTATTTTACATTGACCCCGGGGACTTACTCATTATCTCCATGAAAATAGACTTTGCACAATAATTACAAACAACCAGTGCAAGGAATAAAATTGTGTTGTTTTAATTAGCTGTCTTTCTAAAAAATTACTTACTGGGAATATTTCAGATAAGACTATCTCTAAGAGATGACTAATAATTTTAAGAAAACAATGCTAAAAATGTAATAAAATGGAATGATCATACAAAAAACAAAGTACAAAAAATACGTTATGACATACTTGGCCATTATCATTATTCTGCATACATTTGTGGTGCATCTATGAGCTAGAACACTACCTATTCCCACTCATTTATTCTTCAAAATAATCCACCAAAATGGTGCTAATGCTAGCTGAGACTGATAAAAGATCAGCAATTGCCAGGATCACACAGCCAGGAAGATGCAAACCAGGCAGTGTGTCTTTACAATCAAACCTCCCACAGACTCTTCTCAAGTCTCTTACAAAAAGTAAACGTTCTTCTACCCGCCAAGTGCACAAACAGTGTTGTATGGCTTTGTGTAACCACAGACAGTTCTAAAGTAGAGGGAACCATGAGGCAATGTTCTAACTGGTTAGCCACTAGAATATCCTTTAATTTTGTATGTGCCTACGTATGTTGTCAGAGTCCCTGAGGAATTTATAAGGAAAACAGTTATTGGGGATTAGTTCAAGTATTCACTGAGCGCCTACCAGAACCAGGCACAGGGCACTGTCCTGGGTAACAGGAATACAGTGGCGAGTGAGACACTTAAGAACTCTGCATACTGGCTCTCTCTAGTGGTGCAACAGATTAAAGTGCAGCACTATAAAGCTATCCACAGCCACTGCCACATGAGTTCAATCCCAAGCCAGGGAGGTGACCCACATGTTGTGACATGCTGCTCCCCTCAGCAGTGTATTTCAGCCAATCTGCCTCTTCTGCTCCCTACTTTGCCTTTGGTGAATCCTCTCACACCTTGCAAATCTGACCTGTACCCCAATTTTTGTATGCATAAATAAAAATCTCAAAAGAAAAAAAAAAGAACTCTGTATATTCAAATGCCTTACATTCTAGATAGAAAGAGTGTATAATTTTAGGTAGTAAAAAAAAAAAAACAACTTTATGACAAAAAGATACCAATATGTCTCCAGAAATTCTATAGAAGAAATGGGATTTTTTTTAAAGTTGTGAATGAGAACAAAGGAGGTGTCTCATCCAGAAATTCATTCTGAACAGGAAGGACTATAGCCTGGAAGAAATTTCCCTTCATTAAAGAAATAGAAACTGGAGGAGGTAATGGGAAAGAAGCTTGTGCCAGAGGGCGGCACAACAAACCCAAAGAGAAGTTTAGGGTTAAGGTCATCTCCCTTTTATGGACAGGACACACATCACAATTCCTGCATATGCTCTCTGTATAATAATTTTTTCCTTTGGAAGAGTAAAAGTGAAGCTGTTATTTGCATCTTCTCTCCACTTTTCTAAATTAGATGCCATCAAAAACTGTTTAACACCAATTAAAAAGCCTTCTGTGGAGAAAAAGGAACTCTGCTACACTGCTGGTGGGAATGCATACTGGTAAAACCACTATGGAAAGTTGTTTAGAAGTTTCTCAAACTGCTCAAAATGGAGCTTCCATATGACCCAGCGATTCCACTTCTAGGTACTTACCCCAAGGAACAAAAACGTTGCTTAAAAAGGACACCGCACCCCCATGTTTATTGCTGCTCTATTTACAATAGGGAAGACGTGATATCAACTCAACTGCCCAAAGTAGATGACTGTATTAAAAGGATGTGGTACATACACACCATGGAATATTACTCAGCAATCAAAAAGGATAAACTCATGCCTTTTGCAGCAACATGGACAGAGCTGGAAGGGATCATGCTTAGTGAAATAAGTCAGAAAGAGAAAGAAAATGATGGATAGTTTCACTCATAGTAGTAGTGTAAAGGACTGGGTGGGGCAGGGGAAAGCAATTGTAATAAAGTAAAAATTAAAAACAATGAATAACTATAAACCAGAGACATTTTACAGGGACAGAGAGGGGAATAGGATCAAAACTGGGGTGGGAAAAGTGAACAGGACTATGGTGATGGGGTACTGATAAACTAGTGGTTATAATCCATGGGAATTATAACCGAGATGAAAAAATGCACAAAATGAAGAATGATAAAAAAAATAATAAATTAAAATAAATTTTTTAAAAAAGGCTTTTGTTTACCCTGATTTTGATCAAGAAAGATGTTAGTGTTCAAATGACATCTGAGTTACTCATTATAAGAATGTTAAGAGGTTATACAACCTCTATTGAGACTTTAATGGCTTTCTAATTCTCTAACTTAATACTACCCAACCACCTTTTAAAAGTTCCAGAGAGTATGTCATCGAGATGGATATTACATCAGTCAAAAGTGACTAATGGATCAGCAGACTCACAGATTCTTAAGAGTAGCCCAAGTTATAAATAAAATGGAAGTCCTTTAACTTAGAATCTATAGATTTCCTGAAATTGTAAGTAAAATTGTACTTGTATATGCACAGTTATTGAGTTATTCCATTCATTAGGAGTCAAAGAGGTGCATGAGCCATTAGAAGTTTTAAATTGCTTTCATAAAAATGAAAATTTTGCTTTGGACATTTTTTTTGGTCATCAGAACAAGTATTCTATAAAAACATATTTCCAGCCCTCAGAACTCCAAGACCAAACAGAGTAGGTATTATTCCATGTCTCTTAAGAAACAAATCATTAGTAAAAAGTACTCTGAAGCCAAGAGCTCTTCAGAGGAGAAGGAATCACTAAGAAGGAATAGAAATTAGTTTGCCCAGTCAGTACAGTCTTGAATTCTACAGCCAATTCTTCAACTGCCCAGCCATGTGACCTTGTGAAACTTACAACCATCCTGACCACTGTTTTCTGTTTGTATAATAAGAGGCTTTGGATCACTTTCAGACCTAAACCTTTCATAGCAACATTACAAACAATGGCTGTCTCAGGACTTGCTTTGATAGAATTTTGTTTACATACTGAGGTGAAGTTCAAGGCAATAAGCAAAATGTTTATGTTTTTGAAAGTGTTGGTCATCAGTAGAAGAGAATCATCTATTGACTGTAGCTAATAGTATTTATTTCTGCAACTAGTGAAAGACAAAAAGATATAAAAAATTATATATGAAATTTAAT